TTCCCTATTAGCATCTCCCAGCTCCTTGCTAAGCCCTCCACCCTCTTTGTGGCCAGCTGAGTTGTTTGTCAGGAATGATGGCTGAGGGATACATGCACTCAGGGGAGGGCTGCTCCAACCAGAATTGCTCACATTTTCCATCCCAGGTGCCAGACATCTCTCTTCTCTCCCCACCGCAGAGGCAGCCAGGTTTAGGTCACCTGGCTTAAAGGCAGACAGTTGATAGCTAGGCCCCCAAATTTCAGGCCTTTGGAGATCTGATATTACCTTTCAGTTCCTCTCCAAGGGTGAAATGGGAGCTGACTGACCAGCAATTCTTATACTTAAGCAAAAAGCCTTCTGACTAATCCCCCAACCCAAGACTTCTCTGCTGGGAGGCTGTCCATGTTGGTCCATCAGCCAAACCTCCTGACCGTTTTCCTGGACAGCCTGCTTACATGGTCCTCATATTTATATATGTTTGTGCTGTCCAGTGCAGCAGCCACTAGCCACATGCAACTATTTAAAGTTATATCACATTTACATATGTCAGATACATTTATATGAATACATGTGAGAGAAAACAATTTAGCCTCATTTCAAGTGCTCATTAGCCATATGTGGCCACTGGCTACTGCTTGTGCAGATAGAGAACATTTCCACTCTCACAGAAAGTTCTAAGGGACAGCTCTAATCCAGACAGCGAGAAATTCCAGTATATTGGCATCCAAAGTTCATCTCATAGACCGTTTCTTCCTCATAGAAGGTCCTAGGGCCTCCTTGACCTTTGAAGTGAACCCATTTGAGTTCCCAACATGTCAGGGCCTGTTGGGGTTAGAAGCCACCTGGCAAAGGATGCCTCTGAAGAAGTGTCTTCTGTGAGACTCACTACTGCCAAGTTTGCATGCCTGCTGTTCCTACACAGTGGGACACACAGGACCCAGCCGGGATGCTGTGTGTGATCTTCAAGACCTCACTCCATTTGCAAAGGAAGGAACTTGGTGTCTATTCGTGTCATCCAAGCCATCAGCCCTGGCAGCGAGTGTGGCAGCTGGATAGCTGGAGTAGAAGTCCAGTGTTGGCAGAGGGAGGGCAGGGCAAGGCTGAGAGAATCACAGCTGGGGATGGATGCTTCTAGATCTGCCCTGCCCTGGGTGGCTCTGTGGGGGTCAGGGTGAGAGATGACTATCAGAGCCTCCCATCTTCCTTTCTGGACCTCTTGGAGATGAGTCTTTGGTGCAGAGGGAAGAGAAAAGAACATTCATTCATTCATTCATTCATTCATTTCTGTTTCCCAGTCCAGAGAGAAGGGGCACATTGGAACAAGAGGTTTAAGCAAAAGCAGTTTCTTTTTGGAGCAGGGGCAGTTCTTTATTCCCTGCCAGCTCCTGCAGGCAAACAGCACGCCGGGCTGGCCTCCCGCCCCAGCCCTACCTGTCATGTGCTTGGCAACTCTGACCTGAGTCCTTCTTTCCACTGCCCTCCCTACCCTGTCACACTGCAGTTGCAACCTCTCATTTTTCTGCTGCCTGGATGATTAAAAAGCATGACTTAGTGGAAAAATCTCAACCTCCTTAGGGTCAGCCTCTTAAGCAGCTGTTGGAGATAAGATTGTGCTCGCAGAATGCTCAGCAACACTTTGCAAGGCTGTCTGTCTGCATGTGAGGAAATGAGAAGCTGATTGGTGCTGGGTGCATCTTGTTTGTCTTTGGAGAGAGCTACAACTTTCAGAGGCATAAATTGGCATTATTTGAAAATAATATAAAATATTTGATGGAAAGGTGAGATTATTGTGGTGATTTAAAAAAAAATGCTATGAGCAGGCTTTTTTTTTTTTCTTCTTTATAATGGCTCCTGCTTTGAGTGATCCAGGGAGCAAAGTTCTCTGGCAACTGAGCAGTATCAGAAGTTCAATGTGCAGACTTCTCCCCAAGGACTTAAAAGACTTAATTGTGCAGCTCCTGGTATGAAAGGCATTGTTTGGAGTTATTTTGATTACCGTGTGAGTATTACCACCTCTCGCTTGGAGATTGAATACTTACTGTCATCCTATCGAAACAGCTCCAAAGAGGACGTTCCGATTTTAATTCAGCATATGTCCTCAAAGCGTTTTATCTTCTTTGTGTTTGCCAAGAACTTGTACCCATCAGTGAGACACAAAGGTCACTTTGCTTTTCAAAGGGAGAAACTGAGTCATGGGCAGTCGAGAGGACTTGGTCGGGGTTATGGAGATGACGTCAAGGACAGTGAGAATATGGAGTCTGTGGCTCTACACGATGTGTTATCAGATGAACGCCTCATTTGAAGTCCTACAGGTCTGAGTTCAAGTCCCCATTCTGTCACTTTCTAGCTGTGTGGCCTTGAGTAAGTCGCTTGCTTTTTCTGTGCTTCAGTCTCCCCCTCTATAGAATAGGGCTCATCCTACTACATACTTAGTAGGATTATTGTGAAGGTTGAGATTCTGAACAGCAAATCTAGCCTGGCTTCTCTTCCATTACTACCATCATCAAAAATCAGTTTTCTCTCCTAATTTTAGTTAAGACTTATTCCCAGCCTGAAACTAAAGTCCACTCTAACTGTCCTCCTCCTCTGGCCTCACTGCAGCTGGCCTCACTATATCTTGTCCCTTTCACTCTTACCTGATATGGGTGATCATAATTATGGTCCAGTTGCTGGGCCATCACAGGTACGCCCCACCCTGGGAATGAGGGCAGAGGGTAGAGGCAGGGGCCCAGGTCTGCACCAAGCCAAATGTCCATTTCCTTGTGATATTTCATAGCTCTGTCTCAAGTCCTGATGATTTAGGACAACTGTCCAGACTGGGAAGCTCATCTTCTAGACCCAGCTGCCCAGAGGTCATGCCAGGCACCTGAACTGGATGGGCTGTTGAAGTCCAGAATCTTGCCCGCCCTCCCTGGTCAGTTTTCAGACTGTAAAATGGGCATCCATTCACTTTTCAAAAGGCATAGGCACTGGAAAGAGCAGATCTAGGTCAGAACCCTGGCCCTTACAGGTGTCCCTCAGAGCCCAGGATCTCACTGTTCCTTGGGTGTGGGAAGGCCTGAATGAGGCCATGTCTGAAAGAGGTTTGCAAACTGGAGTGTGCTTTCCACTTGCTGGGCTTCCCCTTGCTCACTCCCAAAGCCCGTGCGTGGAAAGCACCTGTGTTTCACCCCCATGGAGGGGCCCCAGCTCCACGTGAGAAGTGAGGAAGAGCCCACATAGACTCCTTGAGCCTCTCCCTGCTCAGAAACTCAGGCCTGTGTGCAGAGCATGGTCCAAGGACTCCACGGGGTGGGCCACAGCAGGAAGAGAAAACCTGGAGTGGGGGCCATTCTCCCACTGTGTCCTGTCGCCCCAACTAGTCTAGCCCCTCCTCTGGCTTGTTTTCCTCCTGGCTGCCATTACGATACTTTTTATGAGCCTGTTAAGTCTTTAATGATGCCTGGTTGTGCAGCTGGCTTAAGGCTTAATCCTCAGCAATAGGGCTTTATTGGATAAATGGTTAATAATCACTTGTCTGCAGGGATTGGGGAGGTTTTGTTGAAGCCCATGATTCCCGAAAGCCCCACATGGCTTTGACGTGGCCTGTGACGTGGCCTGTGATGTGGCCTGTGACTGAGCACTCTTAAGGGCTGCGGTGCAGTCAGATTGGGCACCCCAGAAGCGGGGAAGGCCTGAGTTAGTAGGAGAGCATTTCTTCCACCTCCCGAGAATAGAGGATACTTGCCGGCTGCTGCTGGCCTATCCTGCTCTGTGCCTGGCTCAGGCAATGCCCAGGCTCTCTCCAAATGTTGTCTCCACCCACTCCCAATTTTGCCTGCCTTTCTCTTGCCATTAACAAGCTGTGTGACCTTGAGCAAGTCCCTCAACCCCTCTGGCCCTTGGTGTCCTCATCTACCAAATGGAGAGATTGAAAGAGGTGGCCTCTAGGTGCCATGTGGCTCTCAACATCTGTGCTCTGTGAGCCTCAGTGTCCCAGACAGAGGCTCCTTTCTCTGGCTCTTGGGTGTGTCACCAAGGGCTGCGGATGGCAAGGGACCCATCGGATTAAGTACTTAAGCTGCCTGGCCAGGAATTAGGTCAGCTGTAGTCACAGGGCAGTGTACAGGGAATCCGCAGGGCCCCCGAGGCCCTCGATTTTATAGCCTGGTGTGGGTTTCTCCCAGGTCCGGGCAGGACACACAGTGAGCATTTAAAAAAAGGAACCTCACTGATGGGATGCTGAAAAGACTCTTGCAGGTATAGAACCATCGAGGAGCACAGAGCAGCTCACAGGTGAAACAGGAGTCTAGAATTCTGTTCGTGGCTTGCCTGTGATTGGGGCCATGCCAGCAAATGTCCCAAATCCACCCTGATTTGGTCTTGACTTTACAGTTGCAGCAAGATCAGGACCCATCTATTTGAGGGGCAAGGTGTTATTGGGGCATGGGCATGGGGGTCAGACGGATCTGGGTTTGAATCTCATTCCACCACCACTCATTTCCAGGCTGTATGGTTTAGGCAACCTCTCCCTTCAAACCTGAGATTCTTTCAGGTAGTATTAGCAACACCTGTTTTCCAGCACGACCGTACTGGTACAAAACGATATATGTGAAGCACCTGGGAGCTGGCTACTAGGCGCCGACCGTTGCCCTGGAAGGAATTCAGTGGTACGGGACGTATGGCGTGCTTCGGACTGCCAGGGTAAAGTGCTGGCTGCAGGCAGGTGTGGCTTACCATGAATGATGTGACGTTAAGTTCTTTTATGTGAAAATAAAAGACGAGGAAATGTACTAACAGAGCGACACCACAATTTTGGGGGCACTGCCCTGAAAACTTGCAGCTTCAGGATTAAAGTCTGCGGAGGGACCGGTTTCCTTAGAATTTGCTCTGTGGGCTTGGGCTTACTTAGGGCTCCCTCCCGGTGTCCTGAGAGCCTGGCACTTGGCAGGGGCTCAGTTCTCCACGTGCAATGGAGAACGGGATTTCTCTTCTCTTGTACTGTAGGTGACCGGGGACTTGCTCTGCTTCTCTTTCAGATCTTTCCTGACCCTTCAGACTTCGACCGTTGCTGCAAGCTCAAAGACCGTCTGCCCTCCATCGTGGTGGAGCCCACGGAGGGCGAGGTGGAGAGTGGGGAGCTCCGGTGGCCCCCGGAGGAGTTCTTGGTCCAGGAGGATGAGCAGGACAACTGTGAAGAGACAGAGAAAGACAACAAGGAGCAATAGAGCCCCCGGTCGACTCCCTTGGGGGGGGCCACACCAGAAGGCATCTGTCCCTGAACTGTGTTCTTTCCCATTGTGATGGAAGAAGGGAGTGAGCCACAGTAGTTCCGAACATGTCAAATGATGGCTTCCGTTTTGCACCTGCAAATCACCGAGTTGGTTTTCTTTTCTTTTCTTTTCTTTTTTTGAAATGTGCTGGGCAGTGGAGCCCTCTGCGACAATTTGCAAGGCCTTCTGAGAAAGGAAGCTGCTTGGAGCAGGGGTGGGGGGGCGGGGAAGTGGTGCATCTTCGCAATTGGTATCCGAACCCGAGCAGGCTAGAGGCAGCGGTGGGATTCCAGTGGGCTCCGGGGGGGTGGGGGAAATGGGGGGGTGCAGCGCGAGCAAGGAACATTCGGGGTAAGAGAACAGACAGGAGACAGGAGTCGGAAGAGAGAATACGCGCTTGAAAGGAAGCATCGAGCAGAGGAGTGCAGCCAGGAAGTTGCCTGCCAGCGGCTGCTGGGGCATCAGACAGCAAGCAGCGTGTTCATCTCTCTCTCCGGTTCTGCCCACCACCTTTGCTTTTATTCAGCTGTGTGGGTCTGTTAACAGGAGGCCGGGAAAGGAGAGCAGTACAAACTGGCTGCCTGCAAAGCTGGCTGGAGGCAGGTGTGGGAAAGGACTCCCTGCTCCTCCTCCACCCTGCTCCTCCTCCACCCTCCACTCTAGCTGTGGCAGGTTCATGTACCCTCCATAATCTGGAGGTTTCTTAAGAGGCAGGGCTCTTGAGCTTCTCTCTCCTGATTTATCTTTTTACCCCTCACCCCCACCCTTTGGGAGTAGAGGGAGCACTTCCTACCCCCATGGGAGAACTGCGCAGTGGATGCTTGGACATGAAGATCCCTCCCCACTGCTCCCCCAGGCTTGCTCTGTTCTGAGCAGAGGCACAGAGCTCTGGCGCTACCAGGCCGGCTCTCCTTCTCCACAGCCCCTGGGTGGAGCAGTCAGGAGGTGCCTACTTCCACGTGGGCCCCTGGCCAGTTTTTCTGGTGGGAGCTGAGTGGAGAGAAGAGGAGGCTCTGTTTCTTGTGATGGGGAGGTGAACTTTAATGGAGGTCCTAGTTCTGGGAATTATCAGAGGGGGATAACAGATATCTCCTGCAGAAGTCTGAAGATCAAGTTTGAAACTGAAGATGTCATGAGATCCCTGGCTTCTCCTTGTGTTCTGAAGGGTGAATGGCATGGTGAGGTGAGGGAGCACTAAGCCTCCGTCCTCATCCCTCCCCACCTCTCACCTGTCCCCTGCAAGGGCACAGTTGAGGAGAAAGCTAGCCTTGGACTTAGAGCTTCTTATAGTTAAGAACCATCTGGAGCAGCAGGTTGCAGGACACACTTTTCAAACCTTCTCTAGCTCACAGCACGTGTGTGCAGCCAAGAGATGAGCTCAAGATCCTCCTGGAGGCCAAACTGGGCCAACAGAGGCACCCTTGGAGTTCTCCAGGGGGTCTCGGTTGACCCCAGTTTGGGTCTTGTGTATAGATCTGTATTTAATACCTCAAGGTTAGTGTGGTTCTGGGGAGCTGGGGCAGGAAGATGAAGGTGCGCGGTTGACATCTCAGCAGGATTTGGTTCTGGGAAGCTGACGCTCACCTCCCTCCCCCAACTCCCTCCCCCTATGTTGTCTGCTTGTGTTCCACACACTGATGGCAATAACTTCTTCCAGCTCCCCGGGAATGGGAGAGGCCTGAAGCCTGCACTGCCAGGGCATCTCTCTTGTACCCCCGCTGGTTCTGTTCTGGCTGCAGAGAATCCTCCCTCCTTCCTTATTCCCTCGCAGCAGCATTTCTCATCCCACACCTGCCTCCCTTGGTGGATGGGGTCTTGCCTTTTAAAATCCTGTGTTTCTGTGTCCCTTTCATCTGTCTTGGTCTTGCCGTGTGATGGGAACGTGCTTGTAAACTGCATAACAAATCTACTTTGTGTATATGTGTGTTTATGGGGGTGACTTATTATTTTGCTGGTCGCTAGACACCTTTGTGCGACCCTTTGGAGTCTGAGCAGGCTGGGGGCTGACCACTCAAGTCAGGACCTGCAGCGGCGAGCCTGTTGGAGGGACCCAGCCACTCTTGGACAAGTGGCTGAGCTCCTGTCTGGCCTCCTTTTCTTTTTTTTTTTTAAAGTAACTTGTGTGTATTTCTAACTGATCGTATTAAAAAAAAACAAACCCTAGTATTTCAGTAAAAATGCCTGTTGTAAGATGAACCTCCTGTAACTTCTATCTGTTCTTTTTTGAGGCTCAGGGAGAAACTAGCATTTTTTTTTTCCGAACTACTTTTTGTCACTGTGACAGTTGTAAATAAAGTTTGAAAATGCTTTCCACCCTGGTCTGGTTTCCTTCTTCCTTCCACCTCCAGTGGAACTGGCACAGCAGAGCACCAAGATGCAACTTTCATGGAAGGCTGAGTCAGGACTTCCAAGCAAGGTTCCTGATGTGTCTTGGCTGCTGGCCCTTCCAGGTGAACCCATCCATGGTTTTTCATCACCCAGCTGAGTGAAAGCAGCCTTTCCTTCTGTGCCAGTGGCTCTCAACTCTGGATGCACATCAGAATCACCAGGAAAGCTTTTTTAAATTACAACTTCTTGGGTTCCACCCCCAGAAACTTGGATTTCAGTGGGCTAGGATGAGGACCAAGCACTAATTTTTTTTAGAATCATGGGGAGCTTTTAACACACAGCCACAGTTTTAAACCACCTTTCTAAGGGAAGAGAAACACCCACAATATCATGTAAGGTCATTCACAGAGACTGGGGGTGAATGGATGGGCGTGTGTACAGCTAAAAAGAACTCTGGAAGTCACTCAAAACATTTACCGAATGCCTACGATTTGTCAGGCATCGTTAAGAGTTTGGTATAAACACCATAGCAGTGGTCCCAGCCCTCACTGCACTGCTTTAGTGGAAAATCAAATAGCAAGTATGGTGAGTGCAACACAGGAAAACGAGATGCCTTGAGAATATCTGTTGGAAGGGCCAAGATAGACATCTGAGGAAGGGAGTGAGGTAGGTGGAAAGAGTGCTTCCAGCAGATGGAAGGCTGCGAATAGTTAAGGCTGTCCTTTAACTAGTAAGGGCAGGGAAATAATGACAGGAGGGCTGCTAATGCCTGGGTGAAGAGTTTGGATTTTATTCTACATGCAGGGTATAGAACAGTATCGTTTACATTTTTACACAATCTGACCCTATGGAGATGGGATTGGAAGGGACCAGGTGGAAGGCCCAGAGATCAAGAAGGAAGCTTCAGGGAGGTGGAGGAGGATGCTTTGTGGAAGGGGTTTTCTGACATTTTCCAACGTAAGGCTGGATATTTTTTGCCTTCACTCAGCCCACATCTGTGCTCATAACCATGGTGAGTACAGATAATCAACTGATCGACACTGAGGATATTTCCCAGTATTGATAGTATATGAATCCATTTTAACATTAGCCTAAATAAAACCATTAGATTTATGGACCTGCTGCCCTGAGAACAACTTGCAGCCCTCAACCATCCTCATCTTGGATTGTTTCTCTATTTCCTTCCAACAACCTGAGGACAGAGTTTACTAGAACGCAGCCTTCTTGAAGATAGCCCCTAATAAAATGGTCTTTATTCACATATAATGTCATCTACATGGAAAAATCTTACTAAATCCACACACACACACACACACACACACACACACACCCTAACACAAAAACCTACTAAAACTGAGGGTGGAGTTCAGCATGGCTGCAGGATCTAAGATTGTTATACAAAACTCAACTATAGTTCCACATACTAGGAATGAATAATTAGAAATTGACATTTAAAATATCACTTATATTAGCATTAAAGAATGCAAAGTATAGGGATAAATCTGACAACAGATGTGCAAAACCTGTTCAATGAAACTACAAAACCCTGCTGAGAAAAATTAGACCTACAAAAACAGAGAGGTATACCATGTTCATGGATCTGAAGATTCAATGTTAAGTTGGCAGTTATCTCCAAATCGACCTATAAATTTAACAGTCAAAATCCAGCAAGCTTTTTTGGCAGAAATTAACAATCTGATGCTAAAAATGCTGTGGAAATACAAAGGATCTAGAATATCCAAAACAACTTTGAAAAAAAAACAAAGTTAGAGGACCCAAATCTCAAATTCAAACCTTATTACAAAGCTACAGTAATCAGAACAGTATGGTATTGGCATCAAGATAGGCAAATAGATCCATGGAACAGACGAAGGAGTCCAAAAATAGACACAAATATAGTCCATTGATTTTTGACAAAATTGCCAAGGCAACTCAGTGAAGAAAGGAGTCATTTATACATATGGTGCTAAAACAGTTGTGTAGCCATATGCAAATATCCCTTGGGGATAGAAACAAAGTCTTCACTTCTGTTTCCCATTGTCTCCATGTAAGTTTCTAAATAGAATAATCATTTAGAAAAAAATTTTTTCTATACTTGGCCAATTGTTTCAATACTGTCCTCACTTTATCCCAGTTCACCTCCTCTCTCCCTAAAGGAAGAGCAACTTCACTATGTTATTCAGGCTGACTTGCATTCAAGGCCTACTCAGCCCCTCCATATGTAATTTGGGACCAATTTCTTAATGCCAATTTCTTAATGTCCAACATCTGCAGCATTGTTTTCCTAGTACCTCTTTTTTTTTAAGATTTTATTTATTCATGAGAGATACACACACACACACACAGAGAGAGAGGCAGAGAAATAGGCAGAGGGAGAAGCAGGCACCATGCAGGGAGCCGATGCAGGACTTGATTCTAGGACCCCTGGGACCACTACCTGAGGCAAAGGCAGATGCTCAACTGCTGAGCCACCCAGGCATCCTTTCCTAGTATCTCTTGCACAGGGATGTGAAGACTGAGTACTCAGGATGTGCTCCATAAGTCAAGATTTATTCCCTCTTCTCCTTAAAGATCTGGCAGTTAAGAAACCAACTCTTGATTTCCCGTCCCCTGCTTTTAGCTCAGGATCACTTGTACACGTATAGTCAAGGGAAACTTCAAGGTGAAGACACCTCCCTACCTGCAGATATAACTCCTGCAGTCTGCCCCTCATCACCATGAGGGAGGGAAAGCAGGGAAAAGAAGAGAATGTTAATATCTTCTTTCCACCAAAGTATTGGAGAGAAAAGAGGGAGACACCTCCTATCAAGGTAGGCCTGATGCCTGGCTCATTGTTAAAGAGATGATCCTTGGTCAGAAGCCTGTTTGAAGTGACGCTTGAATTTTGTGTAGACTAGGGAGAGATTCCAGGTGGGAGTGACAGCAAGTACAAAGGCCCTGTGGCAAAAATTGACTTGATTTTTCTGAGGAATGTCTCAGAAAAACATGGCTGGAGTAGAGGGAAAGAGAAGTAACTGAGGTCAGATACCACAGAGCAGAGTTTAGAATCACTATTGCCCATTGTGAGAAGCCCACCGGGGAAGGAAGTTGACTTATCAGACATCCTACCCCCTTGAAATCCACTGGGTCAGCCCACCCAAAGCTGTCTAACCCCGTGGCAAATTGCAGTCAGTATCAATTGACCTGAGGCACTGCCACATCGTGTGGGGGCAGCTGGACCATCAAGTGAGGGTTAAATTAAGTAGAGTTCTACTTGTATGTCTGTCCTTCAGTTCCTAAAAAGTGTGGTTATGGCTTAAGAGAAAGGGCTGGGAAACTAGACTCCTGAATCTGTAGCTCAGCCGTGACTCTTACTAGCTGTGTGACCTTGGACAATTTACATTTCCTCTCTGTGCTTCACCTTCCTCCTCTATGAAGTGGATTCCTACTTTACAGGGTTGTGGTGAGACTTAAACACCTCTCTCCGAGTAACATGCTTAGAACCATACCAGGTACATAGTAGGTGCTCAAAACATTAACCATTGTGGTAGACAGAATAAAGATGTCCACATCCTAATCTCAGGAACCTATGAATGTGCTGGTCCCATGGTAAAAGGGGCATTTAAGTAAGGTTGCAGGTGGAATGAAGGCTGCTAATCAGCTGACTGGCGTGGGAGGCCCTGGGTTATCCAGGTGAGCCCAATCTAATCACAAGGGTTGTTACCACAAAACCGGGAAGCAGAAGAGTAAGTGCCAGAGTCAGAGAGAAATTCGAAGGTGAAATGTTGCTGGCTTTGAAGATGGAGGAAGATCTACTAACCAAGAAATGCAAGGGGCCCTAGAAACTGGGAAAGACCTGGAAATCATTCTCCCTGAAGCCTTCAGAAGGGATACAGCCCTGCCAACACCTTGATTTTAGCCCAGAGTCACCTATTCTAGACTTCTGACTTCTAATGAGTTAAGATAATAAGTTTAAGTCATAAAATTTGTGGTAATTTGTGACAGCCTCCATGGGAAACTAATACAGCTGTTATTGTAAATATGATGAGGATACAGACTCCTGCAGGATGGCAATGAACGGGAGAAGGTCCTAGCCAGGCTAAGGCCACTGTCTGGCCCTGGAGCCCATAGAGTCCTAGGCTCAGAGTCTACTCTGGGTGTCACCAGGCAGAGGAATCTGTCAGATGGGAGGCAGGAGGCACCACTGCACCAGACTGGATAAATGTGAAGCTGTAAAGCCCTTATTTCTACAATTTTGAAAATCAGTGATTAATATAGGAGATATTTGTCAGTATAGTCTATGAAGCAGAATTATTTACCAAAATAGTCCCTTCCCTTCTGTCTGCATGGAAGGTTCCACTTTGAAATGCAATCCATTTGGAATACTTGCTTTGCCATTTCCAATTAGAAAAACATGAATTCTCTCTTGTCTGGTACTGGCTACGATTTACACAGCTCACAACTGGGCTACAGGTTGCCTTCATTTCTTCAAATTCTCAACAGTTTTTGCAAAGTGTGGGTTTTTATAGAGCTGGGTTTGTTTGTTTTTTCTGTAAAAACTCCGTTTAGCAGTGATGGATATTACACAAGATGGTGGAGTTTGGGATCTCATTTCAGATCCCATCACAGAGGCAAATAATTATTTGCATTTTTGTTTCCTTCCAGTCATTGTCCTTCTTACTTACCAGAATATACTCAGTGAATATAATTTTCCCCATGAAGTGGGTGTTTTTAATATTGACAAATAAGGAAGCTGAGGTCAGAAGGCTTTGAAACATACCTACTATGGAACCAGAAAAAGCAGAAAGAATGCCCACTATTCCCACTGTGGGAATCAACAGTGTGCTGGTAAGTAAGAGCTGGCTTTCCAAAGGGTTGGAGGGAAAGCCCTGAGTTGCAGCATTTGCCATCTCCCATGCTGTAAATGTTCTCCTGTGGCTGATTCATGAGCAAGCTACTCAGGCTGGTGGAGTCTCAGCTTCCTTTTCTGCAAAATGAACAGAACT